CAATTTGTGGCAAATGATAACCGACCATTTATTTAACGAAATTAAAATTATACATATATAATCAATATAGTAAAATATATAATAAAGTCATAAATTAGAGTAAAGAATAAAACTTAATTATACGAAATCATTTGTAGTTGAATGTTGACGTTTCGGTCAGAATTGACTGCTTTCAGAATGTTTTTGTTATATTACAAAGGTGATATTCTTTCATCTACAGGTATTCTTTTTGTCTTTTTTCTTTTCTTTCATGATAGTGGTATAGATCATATAATTAACTTTATTTTTTACTCTAATATATGATTTTATTATATATTTATAATTTTAATCTTATTAAATAAATAAATTTATATATGAAGAGAAGTAATTCTATTAAAATAAGAATTAGTAACCACCTTCCTGAATCGAATTTAATAGCTCAAAACTATTTAGCAATTGTGAGTACTACCTAAAAACACCTTAATGACTACGACACTTGCCTTAATAATAAGTCTAGCTCAATTAGTAAGTGAAACAACAACCTGAACAGTGGTTCTCGTGCTTAATAGACCAAGTCTTTAAAGCACTCTGGTTAACTTCATACTAACCATTGGGGCAAAAGCATGTTCTCGCGTTACTGTAATGTTTTCAAAGCGTTGATCATAGGCAAACAGGCATTAATGGCTTCCATATTTCGTGTCGTGTCGAGTGAAAGAAAATATTTTGTGAGCATGTGTCGAACATCGTAATTCATTGAATGATATTGCCAAAATCAAGTAAGTTCGATGTTTAGTTTTTTATCGATCAGCATAGATGAGGAAGTCTTGATTCAACTTTCAGTGTGACTATTAAATGAAATCTTACCAATCACAGCAACTTACAACAGAGTCGGAATTCTGGAAAGTTATTGAGAGACTACATTTACTCACATCTGTGTTTTACTGTTTTCATATTGAGTACGAGCAGATGTCTGTATGCAACGGTTTTGAGAGATGAATTTCAAATCTGGAGAAAGATCTCCGATTATATCTGCTTTGATTGCATGGACTAATTCAAGAAAATCTTATATTGATGATAATACTATGTAAATCTTTCTTTCGAGAAAAATGGACACACTAATAAAACATAATTACGACGTAATATGTGTCATGTTCATAGGAAATCTATTTTTACGCTATTTCAGGTTCCAGCGGTTCCGCATTGAATCAATTGAACGGTCCTCGAGGTCTTAGCTTTGGCTCCAATTCGACCATTCTTTACATAGCAGATACTGACAATCATCGAATTATGAGCTATGCATCGGGCGCATCCAATGGTACTGTAGCTGCTGGTGGCAATGGGCAAGGGACGCTGACCAGCCAGCTGTACAGCCCATATGCTGTTCATTTTGATTCATCATCAAACAGCTTGTTAATTGCCAACTATGGTGCCCACGCTATTGTTCGTTGGGTTATTGGTTCCAGTGGTTGGACAATTGTTGCTGGATCTATTGGTTATGCTGGTAGTACATCATGGCTGCTGTATTATCCTCAAGATCTCACATTCGATTCGATGGGCAACATTTATGTAGCCGACGCAGGCAATCATCGTGTACAGCTATTTCTTGCTGGTCAACAAAATGCAACAACTATTGCAGGTGTTACAAGTGCATCAGGCAGTTTATCTAATTTACTTTCCTATCCACATTCACTACTACTCGACCAACAATTGAATCTTTATGTATCGGACAGCTTCAACCATCGAATACAAATGTTTGTTCGATACTAAACAAAACAATCTCATTATGCTAGAACACGATTACTTTTCCCTCTCATCTAATGATTTTTTTTAAACAAATTATTCAATTGTCTACTTCACAGATGTCCTATTCAAAATAGCAACTCTACATGACATAAAGCTAACTGTTCTTGACTTTATACTCACAACAGTGTAACAGTCCATAAAATTTCAATGAAATCTTATTGTATTTGATTATATGATTAACTTTTCTCCAGAATAGTCTCTAAAACAAAAAGACTATTTTTTTCGATCTAAGAAATTGGTACCAAATCGTTAGCGCGGAAGAGGAGGGTAAACGTAAGGGTAGTGCAGATCAGTAAGTGCTACTACGGATGGATTTCAATCCCGCTAGAGAGTTCGTCAAGAAAAGACTGATGACTTAAAGTAAAATTCTGATTCAAGCACATTAAGATTGCGAATTGTTTCTCGTATATATTTGGCACTACATTTGAAATTTTTCGTTGTTGACTCTATCTATCCCGTTTCATTTTTAACATGGATGTCGCTAAAAACGAGGCAAACATACAGAGACATAGCCATGGCCTCAGCTTCACACACTCTATATTCCGACACCTAATAGTACGATGAAACTGAGTTTGTGCCAGAATGCATCCAATTTGTTTCAAAAATTTGCAGAAAGCTGGCTATGTTTTCAGCTTTTGATGGAACATGTCCTATAACAGATAAACCCGAATCTGATTTCAAGTTTTACTGGAAGGTATTTTTTTTCTTTTAAAATTATTTCAACAAGATCATATATACATTTTGAGAATAACAATTGTAAGAAAGTTTCTGAGCAGATGACCTTCTAAGCACAACTTCTAACTTGATCATAATGCGTATTTTAGGGGAAGTATTGGTTCAATTTCTAAGAAAGTGTAAATCTATTTGAACCTGATAAGCAGTTAAATAGTAACTGAAATAACTACATAAAAAACAGTTGTTTTTGAATTGCCTAAAATATTCACTGGTTGCTTAACCTTGTCATACCATATAATCCGAGATAACATTAAAAAAATTCTTTTTGTTCTGTCCTCACAACGTACAACGTAGGTTTTTATGTTGTGAGTACTGTGATGTCAGCAAAATGAAACATATGCAGCTGCTTCTACACATTCTTGACCAATCATGGCTCATTTTCTTTTCTCTTCAGTTCTATGCAAAACTTTGTACGTTGTTTGTTTGGTGACATAGGGATAACTATGCAGCAAGTATAGGCATGCACCGAACCCGAACGTTCGGGTTCAGTTTTCACTGGAGTCATTTTAAGTTAGTTAATAAGAAGAATTGGATGTCAGCAAAAAGCAAAAGGATTCCGAAATTCGCAACAGCAGATCTCAAATATTTGAATAACTGATCCAAAATTTGAGGATCTGGAAAAATCCTAAAAATGAATCATCCTCAGCAATAATGTATTCTGAGCTAGAACTTAGCTAAAGTTAAGCCCGCTTGCATGAGGATGTGGTTATGGGTGGATGTTGAAGTTGGTTCTTCATCTTCATCCACACCCGCATACCCACACCCTTTGCGACAGCTTAAACACAACCAATGAAAATTAACAATAGATAGTTAAAAACAGAATTTTGTTTTCTTTCCAAATGTGTATTTAGAATCTTTCTGTGACTTGTAATTGATTAGCGGTTACCAAAATCTTTGAAAGAATCACAAATTAAGTTGGTACAGAATTTTGTTTGCATATTTGTTTACTTTAACTAAAATCTACTCAATTCAAAAAACTAGAGACCTTTTCATGTTCCAGTTTTGGAGAATCACGTTTGCTCAAAAATATCTTATTCAATTTTCTTTCTACATTCTGTCAAGGTTTAACTTAAAACTCCACTTTATCTTTTGTACTTCTAATCTGAACAAATGGTAATTGTAACACTAAACGAAGCTTTGAATATGCCATGCTTGAAGATATGAGTAAGATACTATTTGTCACTTATGTAAATTAGAATGCCGAAAAATTAAGTTAATCCTACTCTTACTCCTGCACTACGCAATGAACCACGATGCTCTGCTATTGAGTCACCTAATTTTAGGTTGTTGTTTTCTAAAGCTAAGCAATTGTCTTATAAACTAAGATGACTTCAGTATTTTTAAGTTTTTCTATACATAAAGCAGTGAAAATGTTTTCTTAAAAATATTTTTTTAGTTTTATGAATTCTATCAAAGTGTTTACAAATATTTTTCAAAAAATTTCATCACAAATTGAAGTTTTTATATTTTATTGTATTTGTTTGTTAATGCAGTTTTGTAGTTGAGCATTAAGAAGAGATTCATTGTTGTCAAATATTAATTCATTGTTGTTGGGTGTGGGTGGGGTGTGGGTGGGGTGTGGGTGTGGGTGGGGTGTGGGTGGGGTGTGGGTGTGGGTGGGGTGTGGGTGTGGGTGTGGATATCCTCTTCCTCATACCCAGACCCACACCAACACCCATCCACATACTCACACCCACACACCCACATCCCACCACACCCACACCCCACACACTCACACCCACACCCACACCCACACACCCAGAATTGAGTAGCGCATCTTTTGGTAAGAACAGATTTTTACGGTAACCTACCATAGTTTTGGAACTTTTGGCAAGGTTTTCCAAAAATACTATTGAACAGGTAAAATGTACGTTTATGAAAAAATCTTTGTTTCTCATAGAATACTCATTGTATGATCGTAAAAATTTCAGGATACGTACAACTCTTAATGCTCTATCAAAATATGGAAAAATTAGGTTAAAATCTTTTATTCAAAAAATTTAGAGAAATTTTATAGCGGTATGAGATCAAAAACGACTCTTAGCTTGCGGAAGGCATAACTCTGGCAAAATGAGACAGAACGCCATAAAATTTTCAGAATATATGTAGTTTGACTAGCTCTGTAAATTGGTGAAAAAAATCGATAGGTGAGGGAGGTCAGCCCCCCCTTAATTCATAGAGAAGATTAATGAGGGCAGTTTTGCTCTCTCCTAGAGAGAAAATCTTTTTTTGTTTCGTTCCTGTTAGACTAACCGTCTATGATAGAACCATGTGCATTAACCTACGAGTCGAGCAAAATGTGTCGAAGAAGCAAGAAAACAGTTATTTTTGTTCTTTCATAACGCTGTTATTGCACTATTTTTAACACATGTACATCAACTTTCAACTGTACATCATTTAAAATGTAGGTAATAACAGGCAAAACATAAGAAAAGACATCTAAAAAAAATACAGAAAATTTGAAAATTCTGTCATACTGTGAAAGTTTGTCTTCTTGTTCCATTTCAAAACTTTCCTCTCTAATTATCATTGTTGCAAACCACTACTACCAACGAATTCACTATATTCAGACTAACATAAATAGATAGACTAACGGTTTCTTTTTTTTTCTACGACATCACGAAACATTTGTTTGATTGTGCTTCATGTCAAATTTCTTTCAATTTCGTTATTGCGTTTGAGTAGGATTAATTAATCATCAATCGAGAAGATTGCCTCGATACTCATCGAAAGATATAGAATCTTAATTATGTTAGGAATAGCTTCATTTTTATTTTCAAGAATAGCAGAATTTGGTGATCATTGATGACTAATTTCGCCTGAGAAATCGGTTGAGAACAATCTATTATCAAAATATAACCGATCTGTCAAAAGTTCATGATGATTGTATTTCCTGTCAATGTGTAACAAGTTTTGAAGAATTATTGGTTAAAGTCTATGAAAATGTCAAGATCAATAATAAAGAGACAGAATAGAAATTGAAGAACTGTTTCGAAGAACAATGTTATCGGATTGATGATTTTACCATATGTGTGACAATTAAAAAACTTGTTAGATAATTAGATAATATGCTGGCAATACCTTTGTTCAATAATTGCATTTATACTTATTAATACCTTGTTGATATTCAAAGAGTTAATAAAACTCGATCAAGCCGCAAGAACAGGCTTGTAGTGACAACAAAAAATCGAAATTATAAATTTAGGCAAGCCATCTATAATTAGATTCGGATTTGTGGATCCTAAAAGCGTTCAAAAACGTTTTGTAAAAAATTGTTATTCTTATCTGGTTTTTCAAAATTCTGAGCAAACCAGCATATTAACAACGTCCTATCACTGTTCAGCACACCAGAGCATTTTTCTAGCATAATTTGGTTCGTATGCATTGCATCTTATACTCTCAACAACTTATATCATCTATTTTCTGATAATTATCGACATTTAGTAAATATAAAGATGGCATAAGCAAACATATAAAATATAAATGAACAGTAAACAAAAGACTGATTGGTGAATCTGCTAGTGTTTTGTTTGTGGTATTATTATTGTTTAGCAAATGCATCTTTATTTTTTGCTTCTGAATATGAATTAAGTTCTATGTAAATTTCAATAATTTATCATCCATAACTTCTGTTATTATTACCTTCATTAAATAATATACTGCCTCGAGCGAAAGCTCACTTCTATTGTGGATGCCAATGGCAAAATGCACAGAAGCATATGTGTTTATCTAATTTAAATACATTTTAAAAAAATCGTAATTTTTTCAAGCTATATAGACAGTATAGGATCATTTCGAAAGATATAGGAAATATTGGAAGACTACAAAGCCTATTTACAGAATTATTATACAATTATTTTCAACTAATACTGTTAATCATTATTTTGTTTGCACTCTAGTATCAATATTACTAATCAGTCACGTAACTTTTGTGTGGATATTGAGGTGAGCATGACTGTGTTTAGAGCATTTTGTCCATATCGACAGCCCCATAACTAGACCCGCATCATAATAATAGGTACAAACATTTTCAGCATAAACGAATTTCAGAGTGCGTGTATGAACTGTAGAAACTTTTATAATATTGATTCATTCATTTATTTGACATTTTTTAAAGAAATTATTTTAAAACCTCTGACAAAATATACATTTACAACAGTTATAATTTTTTGAGTTCAACAGTTTGAGCCTCCATGAGATCATACTAACAAGTTTTTCTTATTGAAGAAATAAAAAACAAACTTTGCTGAACGTTTTACAATGTCCACTCTATTTGAAAAATACAAATTATAGTGAACATTATTAATTTTTTATCATCATAGAAAAAATTTGTGTAATGTTCACAGTCACATAGGTGTCATGTATTGCAGTATGAAATAAGAAACGAAATGAATTATAGGAAAATCATGTTCTACTAGCTGTTCATAACTGAATATTCTCAAAGGTGTCTAGTGAGGTTTATATTTATTGTTCCTCGCCTATGTTTGAACGTTATTAACTTCTACTTGTTACACGACAGTAAAAATCGATGTTTATGTACTCATCGTAAATTGAGTTTCCTTCTGCAAATATATTTTTTTTTCTTTTTTTTTTATCGCAAGTAGTCTTGTACTCCTTTTCTGGATTATTTACTGCTACCACGTGTAGTCCTTCTCGATAGTGTGTAAATAACAACAATTTGATAAAAAAAAGAGAAAAAAATAGGCAACATACGACAGAAATGGAGTAGAATATGCTCCACATGATATAAGAAGAACAAATGAATCATTCGACGTCCAGCATAATCGTTTTATATATAGAAGACTCGAAGAAAGTAGACGATACCAACATTAAAGTTTATTCGGTAAGGTTGATTTTGAATAATTGATTTTCAGGAATAACTTATTTGAAGCGTTTCTAAGAATAACAGCAATATTCTAAACATTATAAACACAACTAATATCTGATCGAAATACCGATTAGAAAGGATTGTGACATAAATTTACCTTTGCTTCATACATTGAAGACAAGTTTAATGACTTTATGGGTTTCTCTTCTACGATGTTCCTTGTGCGTTACATGATAGCACTAGGTTCTCTTTTATCCCATAGTCTTCATCATTTATCGTTGCTTCAGAGGGTAGTATCAATCTATCGTAATAACATATCTCAGACTTGCATGAAATAATTTATCATATAATTGGACGACAAGTTCGAAATATATCTACGATTGAAGATAAACAAGCTTTTTGCGAAAAAAATACGTCTCCGAATAAGAGAAAGAATATTCAGAGCTTCTTTAGGAGTGGTCAAGACGACAGGAAAAATCTTGGATGTAGACAGACATGTGTAAGAATAGAGGCAAAAAATGCTCTTGTTAAACATTCTGCCCTTCATGATACATGAAACATTGATAAGCCACTGAAGTATACATCATTCTGGTGGTACAAGAATTATAGTCATAAGATATAGAGTGAAATCGAGTGCGACGAATTTCAAATCATACAGTCACGCCTAAAACTGATGAAAAGCAACTTTCTATAATACACATCTGTGTCAAGATGAAGGTGAATAGCTTCGGGTCAAATAACAAAGATTGAAACAACGTGTTCAATCTTTACGAAATTTCAGCTTCTAATATTCTATATTCTATTTCTCTGTAACAACAGAAAAAAATGCTTTGAAGTAAAGCTTCCCTAGAATTACTATGCTCCTAAATTTGATTTATTTTCATTTAAGTATAACAGAGTTATACATAAAATATCACCCGTTGCAGAATTTCAGAAATGCAAGTTTTTTACACAACTATTTAGAACTTAGCATTTTATCATTAAAGAAGATGACATACAGAAAAGCACTAAATAAAAAAGCTGTACAGGCGTCCATGAACTTTTAGAATTAGAGTGTATTTCGAGTTAAAAATTACAGCATTATATAGAGGTCTAAAAATATCACTCGCTGCAGAAATTCATTCTTTTTTCCGAATGTTGCAATGTGACTGATTCTTTGACTCAAAATTCCAACTAAAATGAAATAGATTCAATTATATTCTGACTTGCAATTTGCTGTATCACATATGTTGGTTTTTCTATTTCATTCAGCTTCTGTTTCTGTGTCGTTGAGGTTTGCATAAAAATGGAATAATGGTATCACTATTTTACGTTTCACGAAGTTGCAGTCAAATGACACTTGGCCATTTACAGAGATATTCTTCTGAGTTTTTGTTTTGGTTAAATCAAAGCTTTGAAATCTCCTTCATAATATTGTGTGCCTAGGATACTTCCTAAAGATAGAAAAAAGTCTTCGTCGTCCATTAAAAGATGCTATTATGACTTGACGGAACTCTTCACGTTGGTCAAAAATATCATATTTTTATTGAAGTGACATCAAGTAGTGAGAAAAATACACGGATTTATCGAACTTGGATCTTCATTCTACTTGACGAATGCAAAATTCGGTCCTCATGTTAAGTCTTTCAAAGTTCAATCAGTGGTAGACTTCTCTGATACATGAATTGTCTCTCAGAAGCGTGAATGTGGATGCGGTTGTGAATGAGAAGAGAGCGAACAACCACACCCACATACACCCTCTATTTATTCTAATCAATCCAGCATTATATGTCGACTGATGATTAATGCCTAGAATATGGTAATATCCAAGTGCGTTAAGAAAAAAATGCCTAAGAAAGAAAACCGATCATAATACAGTAAAGGAAATCATATATGATTCGATGGGACAATTTGTACTACGAAAAAAAAGAAAGTACATGTAACAGAGAGGAAAATTACGTATATGATGTAAAGAAAATACAGAAGGAAAAGCACAAAAACATAAAAGATGACAACTTCTAAATTTATTGCTTTTTAACAAGATTCTCTTTTTGACACCGTCCTGTTGTTGTTTGATATCCTTGCTCATAGAATACTGAGAAAAGACACAAATAAACCTGTCCTATTCTCTTTCTACCGTTGATGTAAGATCTACAAAGAAAGATCCCTTCGCTTTTCGTCTTATTGAAACCAAAATGAGTATCTTTATCAAAACATAAATTCTTTTATGTCTTTGCATTTGATCGACAACAACAGTGACATAATTTTACTATGCATTTCTATGAACCATGAAAGAGAGAAAATCTTTTTCTTCTTTCGTTGTCAAACAGGGAAAAACCTCTTATTCGTTAGTCAAGGTTTTCGGATAATGTTAAGCGAAATAAGGAAATCTTCCGCTTCCACGAAGAAAAAGAGAAAAATGACTGTCTCATTTGTAGCACTTTTCTCTCTTCACACACAGTAATAAAAACTGCTCTTTTTCTCTCGCTCTCTGTAGCCATGCTCAATATTCCAGCTGATGCCCGATGGGTACAAAATGCAGTCACTGTTGCCGGGGGACATGGACGAGGCAATGACGCGAATCAACTTCTTGGCCCTTTTGGTATCTACGTTGATGACGACCAAACAATGGTCATAGCTGATGGCGGTAATCATCGTATCATACGATGGAAGGTGGGTCATGCAAATGGAGAAGTGGTTGCTGGTGGCAATGGCTCAGGAATTGGACTTGATCAATTTTCTCGACCAAGCGATGTGCTAATCGACAGACAGACAAATACTTATATTATCTGCGATTACGGAAATCGTAGAGTCGTACGATGGTCTCGTCGTAGTGGCACAACTCAAAGAGAAATCCTCCTCGACAACATTAGCTGTTTTGGATTAGCTATGGATGCTGATAATAATCTATATATCTCTGACATTCAAAAACATGAAGTAAGGCGATATCAAATAGGAAACAAGAATGGAACTCTCGTGGCTGGGGGCAATGGTTATGGTGCTGGTCTCAATCAACTCAACTATCCTTACTACTTCTTTGTCGATCAAGAACAGACTGTCTACGTGTCTGATTTTGAAAATAGTCGTGTGATGAAATGGAATAAAGATGCAACTGAAGGAATTGTGGTCGCTGGTGGTCAAGGCGAAGGGAATGCTTTGACACAATTGAATTGTCCTCAAGGATTATTCGTTGATGCGTTGGGTACCCTCTATGTGGCAGAGAGCAGGAATAATCGAGTGACACGTTGGCTAAAAGGAGCAAAATATGGCACTATTATTTTGGGTGGAAATGATGTAGGAAAAGAAGCTAATCAGTTCCATTGGCCCGTGGGTTTGTCCTTCGATCGAAATGGTAATCTATATGTCGCTGATCATTACAATCTTCGTGTTCAACAATTTTCTATAAAATGTGCGAATAAACATGATTCATCTTTTTGTGTTCAGCAATAAACTTATGATGAGTGAGAAAAAGAAATCATTATTGTATTCATACATCACATGAGGGTGTGGGTGTGGGTGTGAATGAACATATGACCCGCACCCACACCCTCCGCCCGACCCACACCCACACCCCACCCACACCCTCACCCTCGCCCACATCCCACCCTGTGAATACAAACAATATAAAACAAATGAACACAACAACACCTGATATATCAACAACGTTATCATGTACTACATTACGAGCTTTATCATTAGCAACGAATTCTGACCGTATGATGTCTCTTAAATGCAGTCTTATGAATATTGCCAACAAAAAAAGCTTCTC